GCTGCTGCTGCCAACACCTCTCTGATACCTCATTGTGTACATAACTAGAAGTAGAGGAGGAGGGGCATTGTGAGATGATGATGATGATCATCATCACCAGCTCACTGTCTCCACCGAGGGGCTTAGGGCCTACCCTAATAAGGGGTGACTAGGCCATAGTCAACCACGCTGGCCAAGTGCGGGTTGGCTGACTTCACACATGTCTTTGAATTTCTTCCCCGATATGTGCAGGCAACACGATGTTTTCCTTCACCGTAAGAACGTCGTGTAAATTATGTACATATGAAAATTCGAAAAATCTAAAATCACATTGGTACATGGCGGGATTCGAACCCAAGGCCTTGTAGATTACAAGTCAAGTGTTTAAACCACTGAGCCACCGACGCTCATTTGATTGTGAGATAATGCCCTAACTTAAATATAACAAAAACTAAAATCATAGTTAAAGTAGCTTTTGCCCATGACTCAAACTCAAATGAAACAAAGTAGGCATAGGAAACTTTTGCCTGTAGCCTGTTTCTAGGGTAAATCAATTACGTTTATGTTACCTTCTATGTCAAACTCTATTTCCGCTAGTGTTTATATTGTAAAGTACCGACGATTCCACGGAAATCCTGGAACAACTATTTATTGCACTCGAGACCACAAAGAAAGTTTTATAGGGTACCAAATAACCCTATTTTCCCCCAGATAGGGTATTTTTTTAATAAAAAAAAACTATAATCTTATATGTATGGTGAAGGTACGGAGGCTGCTGTGCGCGGGGCTGTCCAGCGGCAACGCGCAGCGCCGCAAGCAAGTGCTGCAACTCGTCAAACATCACTACTTCCCCGTGGATCAGATGAACCAGGTATAGAAAAATAGCCTATAATATACCTAAATATGTTCCCCTCAAAGTCCCATCCAAATCTGTTTTGGAGATAATCTAGAACAAACGAGACTAACGGATGTCAAAAATGTCAAAACTTAGTTTTTAGTTATAAAACAACTGTTTTCTACTATTTTTACAAAATATTGTTTATTTTTATATAGATACTCCAATTTTATTTACTGTATAGTTTTAGTATTAGTGTCGTTGGAGATATAAAAATATCTCGGCTCGAAGGACCATGAAAAAGATTTTTTTAAAAATGTACTTTTAACTAAATATTTAAACGTTTTCCAATGGCAGGTGTTCGGAGAGGGCGCGGCAAACATATCGTACATGTCGGAGGGCGTGTCGTGTCTGTCAGAGGGCGTGTCTCTCGTGTCGGGGGGCGTGGCCCACGTGTCGGGGGGCGTGTCCCGCGAGGAGGGCGAGGCGTGGGCGATGCGGCTCGCGCCTGCGCAGGAACACGCCATTGATGCACTCGTTGACAAACTTAATGATGCCCTACGAAATGATAAGGTATTTAATTTTTTTTACTATTTGTTAGTTAATAGCTGTTTTTGTGTAGCTTCATTCGTATGGAATTATAAAAACCCTATTTTATTGTTTACATTTGTTAAATTTTCCATTACCATAATAATCTTGCTTCCTTAATGTTGGCAGCTTGTAGTTTATGGTCCCTTTCTACATGAGTGATTTTTTCAATTTATTTACCCCCTAAGATTAATAGCATGAAAACATATAGCCTTCGACATAAATTTAGGGCTTTTTATTAAAGAAATAATTATTCAAAAATATGTTGTTATTGACATCTTATGCACTACATAATAAATGTATTTAAAAAGGTTGATTTAATAATTTCAGATCT